GCGGATTTAAGATAAGTTATGAAGTTAAGACCAACCTATTGCTTTCGACTCAAACTAGATATAAATATGCACAAGTAAGAAATGAATAAAGTAAGAAATGAATAAAAGAGAATACTGTCCTCAATACCATAGTCAAGTATCAGAGTTGGTGTTTAGAGAGTTTCTAATAAGGCAAAAATACCAATGTTAACCATTCTTTGAATGTAAGAATACAAAAAAGGCAGCCCGGTGCACTAAGCTCCCTTTATGCGCAAGGTCCGAGGAAGGACCGGACCACAAGGGTCAATTGTACGTAGTCTTACCTTGTATTTCTGAAGTGGCTGTTTCCACGGCCTGTGACCTCCTGGTCACAGGGCAACAATTTTACTAGTTACGACAAGACTCCACTTCGAAGGGAAGAATACAGAATGCATAAAAATATAGTAAAGCTTACAACATCACAAACAAAAACCAGAGTGAAAAGCAAAACTGATAGAAACCTTCAAGCTGCATTCAATTACAAAGGAAATGAAGACTTTAGATATAATATAGAGAAGCAAACTTTCTTTACTTCTCAACCCCTTCACTCTTTTCTCTGTCATTTTTCTTTTCTCAATACTATGTATATAAAGTGGAGGAGAAAGAGGATGAGCACTTGTTTAAACTCGTCTCTTCACTCCTTTCTTCCTCCAACTTTCTCCCTTATTAACCTAAACCTTCATTACCTTAAAGTCCTACTCAAACTGCAAACCAACCAGAAGTTGAAACTTACAGACAAACTTTCGAAAGAAAGAAAAAAAAATAGAAAAGATAAAAAGACCCCCTTGAATGCGCCGTGTAGTATAGCACTATAGCTGCACAATTCTTACATTACAACCCAAGAAAAATGTGTTTGCATTTCCTCCTCCTTAACTTCTTGTTTTTCGTTCAGTTTTTTAGACTAGAGTGTAGCTTGAAACTGAGACAATAGCAGGAGAAGCAGTGTGAATGTACACGAACTCGAGGCTTTTCCCAGCTGGTAAAGAATTTTGCCAAGCTGGGAAGATGAACGAGTCACCGTACTTTGTAAGACCCCAGAGAGGACCATAGAGCTTGGATATTGCGAGCTTCAAGTTCTTAACTGTCTTTGCGGACTTGTTAGTAACTATTGCTGAGTATCTGTAGTAAGTCTTCCCATTTAGTGCCCATGAACTAGTTGCCCTTTGTTGAATAGCAACATGAGCATTAGCTGCAGATATATTTGTTTATTAGATTCCACTAAAACATTGGTCTATTCATTGACAGAAGAATAGCAAGTGAAAATACCTGGAACTGGAATTACTCTTGGCCTTGGAGCTGGAGTTACTTTTCCCCGTGGCGCTGGCTTTGGAACTGGCTTTGGTGCAGGAACAACTGCAAGACGCATAGAAAAAAATTCTCAGCATAAAACTTTGATATAACTACTACAACAACATCATCTCAATCCCAAACAAGTTGCATCAGGTTCATAGCAAGCATAAAACTAGTCTGGACGATGTTAATTCACTAAAAAAAATACCTGGGAGGAGCTGATTGTAACCACTATGACCAGCATGGAGTCTTGCCAACACGCCAATCAACGGAGCATTGTTGTAAGTGGCAGGCTCAGTTTGCTCATAGTTGTCTCTTTCATCGGCAAAGTTGTCATAGGCATCAGGTCCACCAACAATGGCACCAGTGAGGAGATTAGGGTCGCTCGCCTTTCTGCTATACCAGGTGGCATATCCTCCACGGCAGGTAACAAAAGTTGGATTAACCTTAATAGAGACTATAGAAGAACCTCTGTGGTGTACTTGTCTTGGGTAATTGCTTCCATATCCCACCATGTAACTTGTCGCTCTCGGATTATCTCCAAGAATGTAGTCCACCTAAAACATGCAGGAGTTAGTCAATGTAAATCCAATATTTTGAGGCTTCCAATTATGCATTTAACTTATATAGTATATACTATGATGGCTGTTGTCGCAAGTAACATGCCTTATTTTACAGGTTACTGATCTAACCTTTTATGGCAGATACATGTTGCGATCTTTTAGATAACTTACACTTTCAGTATATGTATAAGTTAAACTCGTTAATTATCTATTCAAATTAATATTTTTACCTGTGACTTGGCAAAAGAGAGGAGCTCATTTGGAGATACATAACCAGAAGAACACTTGAGGTATTTGCCGGCGGAAGTCAAATAGTCAGAATAAACAGAGGCAAGGAATGAAGCACTTGTAACAAATTGCATATTGTTCCATCTCTGCCTAAAGATGAGACCACCAGGAGTTTTCTGGGCATTTCGGTTACCCTTTCCGAGGCACGAACACATGAAGTTCTCTGCTTTTTGTTGGTACCTCTCAAATACAGGTGCATTGTGACCAGCTTTCCCTGACATCAAGATCTGCCAACAGACATACCAATTAGTTATCTGCCTATGAAACTACAAAGGGATCGTTTGGTTTGAAGACAAGTTAGCTGGGATTAGTTATGCTGCGATTAGTTATCCTGATCCTGGTTTATCGTTTGATTCATGTTTATTTATGTTACCGTCGAGTTGAAATTTCTAAACTCTTTTAACATAATTTTTTTACCTGAGAAACAAGAGTTTGGACACCAGCATACTTGACATCCCAGCCAAATTCAGTCATGGACCAACCAGTTCCACCAAGTGCATCTCCATTCCTTCCTAAGTAATTCAAGTAAAATTGATTGTTTGATGCCTTGTACAACCATGCTGCTGCCCATAATAATTCATCCTGTAACAACAAACATTCCCAAAAAAAAATACTTATTAAATTTTACAATTCTTAAAGAAAACGATTAAGTTATTATATTGACAATATAAAAAAAAGTAAGTTAATCGGTTATTGCTAGTTATTAAACTATTTTCAAAATTATCATATCCGGCTTGTTATAGCATTATTACATGTTATTGTAACAATATACAAACTTAAAACACTTAAGACTAAAGTTGTAGGGTAGTTAATTAAATATTGTTACCTAATTGACAAAGTTTAGAATTTACAAATATCAATAATAATTGCGCATCAATCCCAAATTAGTAGAAATCGGCTATATATATATATCTGTACCGCTTCATTTAAATTCAACTTATGTCATCATTATTTGAAATAAAATAAATAAAATAAAAACGACATGAGACTGAAAAAGAAAAGAATAAGATGCTAGAATAACATACCGCGTATCCACTGACAGATCGGTAATATTTTTGGGCCACAGTAATACTGCTATCATATTTGCCCCTATATTTGTCAGCAAATTCGAAGAGCTGAAAACAACAGTAACAAATTGTAAGTTGAGCAGGTAAAATGATGAAATACAATCAAAATAACAAGGGTATATTAGGAACTAAAAAAAAATATTTGTTGGGAAAGAAGTTGTGCATCGTATGATAGTACGGTACAACTGCACCGACAGTCCTCCACATCACGTGGCAAAAGCGATGCTTAAGGATCAAAAGATGTGGACGGTTAACATTTGGCGAGTACATAAGATCACACGGTTACTAAAACAGTACCCGTGATTAACGGCAAATCTGTTCCTTGTGGCCCCCACCATGATCCTTTATTTACGCCGAAAGATTTTGCTACCATTTACACCGGCAGCTAATGACCTAATGTTATTAATGCTCATTATTATTCAAGCTCAAAAGAGCAAAATTTAATTATTTCACATTATTACAACCGTGAAAAATGAAAAATAAATTACTTGTATTATAAAGTTATACCTATGTATGTTTATGAAGAGGAGCTTGGCGTAACTGTTAGAGTTAGTTGTTTTGCAACCAGAGCTCTTGTAAAAATGTAAGGTTAAGCTGCTCACAACGTATCCTTGTGGTAAGGACTAGATCAATCTCCTAATGATAATATTATAGAGCAATCTTTAATGCAGCTGAATAAGGTTAATTGGCACCTCATATTCTAATTATTACAAATGTTAATTGGCCAAATTTGGGGAAAGAAAACACAATTACTAGTATGGGCCCTGACCTAACATCACCCAACGCACATGGATCCTTTACCTTTTAAAAAGGTAGGACAAGACCAACAACGTCGTAAGACTATTCTTAGTGTACTAGTGAGGAAAGGAATAAATTATTTTACCTAAAAGTTTAGTACTTTGATAATATAATTAAGTTATATAAAAATAATTTCTATTATCAATAAATATTAATTTGTGATAGATTGATAGTATGTTAATTTTTTTAATTTCTCATCCGTTTGATATACGCTTTGAAAACCAATTAAATCAAGATTCTGACCAAAATATCTCATATTAAATGATAAGTGTTTACTAGTAAAATAATTTTATATTTAACGCTCCAACCTGAAGTTTTTTTCTGGAATTTATTGTGGGCGTTAGAGAAATGAATGAAAAGTAGCAATACGCCCCCACAACTAACCTACACCGACAAACAAGTAGCCCTGACAAAAAAGCTGAGCTAATCGTAACTACCTAATTACTCGGGACCCTTAACTAACATGCGCCCTTTTCCCAACACCGAACTAACATGCGCCAGTCTCTCAGTCCACACACTGAAGACTGAGCCACTTTTTAGCTTTT